GAAGTTCAGCTGGAGAACTTAGCATTATATCATACTTTGGATCGCCTTTATTGGCATACCATAGTATGACATATTACGTATGCTAATCCCATCTGCAAATCATCAGAGCTCAGCTTTTCTTGTAAGGGATAGGTTACAGTTTGCAAATCATCCATGGATGGTTGGATTCTCATAGTCATCAAGGAAACTTCCTTGGGAGTTACCTATCTATAACATTACTTCAGCTCATTAACTTCTATCTAGTCCATTGCTGAATATTTATTATTTTTAATTAAAAAGAGCTGCCAGACTAAGCATTGCTTTTAGAGTTTACTGCAGGGGTGGGTTCCTGCCAGTTCTATCCTCTTCTATAGAAGAGGTTCCACAAATCTACAGTGCCATTTAGAACCGGTTCCAGCTCCCTCCCCCCGCCCGGCCCGTCCGCACATCATCAAGATGAAGAGCGAGAGGAGGAATTCTGGGAGTTGAAGTCCTCAAGTCTTAAAGCTGTCAAGTTTCAACATCCCTTTTTTTCTAAAGGGTTAGGGGTGCAAGGGTCTTGTAACTTGACAGCTTTAAGACTTGCGTGCTTCAAATGCCAGAGTTTCTGAGCCAACATTTTGGTTGCTAAGCAAGAGCGTTGCTAAATGAGTTTCACCACATTTTACTAGTTGGCCATGCCCACCCAGTCACATGACTGCCAAGCCACTCCCACTCGGTCAAATGGCTGGCAAGTCACTCCCACCCGGTCACATGGCCAGCAAGTCACTCCCACAAAGCAGGCCACACCTACAGAAGAGATTCTAAAAATTTTGAAACCCACCACTGGTTTACTGATAACTATGATCAGTACAACTGTATAAGTCACTGCAAGAAAAAAAGTAGCTATCTGTTACATTGAATTACAGGATTTGAAAATTTGAATTCCCACATTTATAAACTATAATTCCTATTATCAGTAGGAATGCAATGGAGAATGTGAGTTTCTTTTCAAGATTGTTCCTTGTAGAACATCAAACGTTTTGCTAAGTGAAATTTGAAAGTCAATTATTCTCAACTGAGATATTTTTATATCATGGTTTCTTTTTTTTTAAAGCATCTCTCTCATGTTCATGAAAAGAAAGCTTATTAAAATATTTCAAAGACTCCCTTTTCTGCACATTTAATTAATGTTCTGATTACAACTTCCTCTACTCTTGAAACAGTATTACCAACATTCCTGTTTTGTGCAAATGATATTCTTCTTTTTAAATAACTGATGAAGGTGTTCCATTTATTATAATTCTACTAGGTTATTTCTCAATTTCATTTTTTCTTTTAATATTTTAAACTTTGTCAAGTTCATTACTGGGGTGTTTTTCTTCTTCTGTTCAATTGTGTCTGATTCTAGGAGACTGCCTGGATAAGTCCTGCAGATCATTATTTTGTCAAGGTTTCTCAGTATTGGTTTGCCATTCCCTCCTTTCTAGGGCTGAGAAAAAATAACTGGCACAAGGTCACCTAGCTGATTTTTGCCAAGGTGGGACTAGAAATCACTTTTCTCAGTTGCTAGCCCTGGTGCCTTAACTACTACCCCAAACTAGCTGTTGTATCAAATAAACATTGTTAAAAAGAACATAAAGCTGTGAAACTATTAATCAATAATAGTCGGAAAACTATGTATCAGTGTTTCTTAACCTTGTCAACTTGAAGATGTCTGGACTTCAACTCCCAGAATTCCCCAGCCAGCGAATGCTGGCTGGGGCATTCTGGGAGTTGAAGTACAGACATCTTCAAGTTGACAAGGTTAAGAAACACTGCTCTGTATAAAACAGCATCATAGGTACACAAAATGGAACATAACCATCATTCTTCACTTGGTTGCTTCAAGAAAAGCCACTGAATTACTTTTTTACTTAGTTTGCTGGAATCTAACCCAGTTGTATATGTTACAGCTGGGGTGGGATGGGACAGGAAGCTTTTACTGCATGAGAAAAGTTCACTCATATCACTTAAGATCCAAAGACTTTCTATGCAAATAATTTATAGTTCTACCTGGCCACAAATCTCTGATGCTGGTTGACTATATAGCATCACAATGATGTGAAACTGTCGAAGACTGATGTGCCAATTTTTTTACAATTACCATATTTTTCAGAATATAAGACGCACATTTTTCCTCCAAAAAGAGGCTGAAAATCTGGGTGCATCTTATACACTGAATACAGCATTTTTGGCCTACCGAAATCCCGCTCCCTTTGCAAAAATGGCTGCGCATAGCCTTTAGGAGGCTTCCAGAGTGCTCCTAGGGGCTGGGGTGGGGAAACAGGAGCAAAAAACAGGCCCAGATTTTCAGCCTCTTTTTTGAAAGAAAAAGGTGTTTCTTACACTCCAAAAAATATGGTATCTATCCATCCAGTAATGGTTAATACAAAAGTTTCACTATCATTCACGATGTCGTCCAAATCGATCAGAATACGGGACATGATACCGAATATCACATTGACAGTACCTCATATCACCTTTATGCAATTTTAACTGCTGAGTCAGCAAGACCTCTAAACAGTTTAAGGGCAATATGTCCATTATAGGATCTTTATTTAGAACTAAGGGAAAAATGCATTAAAGGATTCATACTTAACTGGAAGGTTTAGAAACTTTAGATAACATACATTTCGGTACACAATAAATTAGCTGCAGAGACGCAAGCTAAATGATGAATTAGTTATGGGTGTGCTTTCCCTTTCTCAGTCATATGCGAGCAATGGTTTTTTCCATTATATCAGGAAATACAATACCGTCTTGTCCTTACCAGGTCACATTATTCAAATAGGAAAGAGAAACACAATAAGGAAGTGGCATCCTCTTAACCTGCTCTTTAGCAGTGGGATGTGCTTCCTGCATTTAAGAAGACATGAACAAGTTCTTCACTTTCAAGTTCTACTGGTTTAAAGGGGCATTTTAACTAGATACCCCAATGGCTTCTCTGATACTACATGCAGTGTTTGCCACATTTCTCTAGGCAAACCATAGTAAGTGACGAATCTGATGGCTATTGAACTGCTCAATGATAATAATATTAATGATGGATGGATGCATGCATGCATGCATGGATGCATGCATGCATGCATTCTATAAAGTCACATTTACCAGACATGCTATCACAGTTATGAGTTATTATAAAAGCAACAAAATGACATTCTCACTAATCAGAATTTCATTTTTAAAAAATAACTATTGCGGGACATGTATAGAGCAATAATTCACCATGTTGACAATACAAGAAGATTTTCATGAATGCAACAAAGATATGATGAACATTAAGTTATGGCTTCTTTTAAGCTCTGACTCTTAAACAAGGCAGAATGGCCTGGCTTGATAAAAAAAACTATTATGGCCAGAAGTCATAAACTGGGTTGACATAGGATACATTTTTCAGCAGAAGCAGACACAACCAGCTTTTAGTATCTCTTCAGCCAGTCACTTTTTCCCAGCCTAACCTCACAAGAATGTTGATGTGGGGAAAAGCGGGAAGAAGGCTATGTTCCCCTGCTTGAACTCCTGAATGAAAAGTGGGATATAAGTATAATAAATGTATATCTAATAATAAATATATAAGTATTTGGATTCAAACAACAAAAATCAAAGCGTCAAAGCTAAACAGTTTACATGATTTAGCGCCACATGTGACTTAAATCTAAAAGTGAACACATATTATTCATTTATAGAAACAGGTTCTCATTGGGAATATGTAAAACTGTTTATGATCCTACAAGCACAGTTAAACAAAGATCCATTGTAATAGCATTGGTGAAAAGGCATGTCCACAAACTGTGCACCTGTATACATTTACCGTTTTTAAAACTAGATGGCCAGTTTTGACAGGCATAATACTTAAGACTCTATAATAAAATCCAACTGAAATGTAATATATGAATCCAACTAAGATTCTTTCTTTTTTGGGCTGGCTTCTTTCTTGTATCACAAGCAGGAATCTGTACCAGAGTTTTATTACTAAAGGACGAAGTACTGGCCCTATTAACTGGGGGGAAAGATGAGAGCCCAGGATGACATGATAATGAGGAAAAAGAAAAGTTTGCAGTTGGATTACCACTTCACTAAAGATATGAGTACGTTGCCTCCAAGTTCTCTATTTGTAATGCTGTTTGTTCAGAAAATGTTAGCTCTGTACAGAAGAAACCAAAAGGAGCAAAGGAGTAGAAGGAAAAGTGGAAATGCCTGAAGGCGATAAAGGTGGAAAAGGAAAAGAGAGGTCCTTGGTGCTCCCTGAGCTTGCTTGTTTTCTTGCAGAAGTTTCCTTACCCAAATGAGGTAACATCATCAATGCTAGTAAGGACTGCACTTTGCTGTCAGTTTATATTCTAGAAACTGTTAGTTTATATTCTAGATTACCGCACTCCTTACTAGAACTGATGGTGATACCTAGTTTGGGTACTAAAATGTCTGCAAGAAAACAACCAAGCTCAGAGAGCACCAAGGACCCAGAGCTACAAATATTCTCCTTTATAAGAGAGAAAGACCCTGACTGTGATCACAGATCTCGCTCAACCAAGACAAGAGTTAGTGGCTGCATTTGTATCCCACCATATCTGCAATTCATGGGTAACAAAGCATCAACCCTGGTTATGGGTTCTTCTTTGTGGGACATTTTGTTAACGCGGCCTGTTTTGCTATTTTACGGTTCAATGCGTTGAACGACTCCAGACTCGTAGTATTTCAGTAAGCGTGTTAAAAGTGGGTTGCGTAAAGGGAGACACTTTCTTTGCAAATCAAACAGCCGCAATGCAATCCCACAAGAAACATGCCTCGGCCTCTGCCTTCTACATTTTCCTAGCCGGGCAACCTCTTTTTCCATTGGAAAGGGGTTCCGAGGTGGGGGCAGGGGAAGGAGAGAAGCCGCCACTTTCTCCCACCGTTGCGGACTCACGCTTTCTGCGCGGCTTGGCAGGCCCGGGCTGGCCTAGGAAGGAGGTTCCCAACGCAAAGGCCAGGCCAGGCCCGCGCCGCCGCCGCCTGCTTACCTGTGGTGGAGAGCACCGTGCTGGCGAAGAAAAGCGCCGAGGTGAAGTCCCAGTTCCAGCTGCCCGAAGCGTTGCTCAGCGCCGAGACGCCGTAGTTGCTGGCCTGCAGGACGCGCGCCAAGAAGCTCTCGAGCTGCTCCTCCGAGAGGCACTCGTGCTCCTCCACGAAGCGCTGCTTCAGTTTGCGCAGCTCCTGGCGCAGGAGGTCTTCGTAGGGCAGCTCGACCGACGAGAAGACCACGGCGCCGAAGACCAGGTAGAGCAGGTAGCCCAGCACCAGCAAGCCGAAGCACCAGGCGGAGCGGTGCCTCTCCACACACGAGCTGCCCGCTAGCGACTGCAGCATCTTCCCCCGCCAGCGCCGCGCACTCCTTCCGAGCGCCAGCCCGCCACCGCTGCTGCCCTGCCCGGAGCCCGCGAAAGACCCGCGTCCCTGAGTGACCCGGCCGGCTCAGCGCAGAAGCCTGGGGCCTCGAAGCGCGCTGGAGGGAGATGCGGGGGTGGGAAAGCAGCCCACGGAGGGTGGCCCCGGAGGCTCTCGCGGCTTGCTGGCCCACGCGATCTCAGCCCCGGAGCAGAGGTCCCTCTCTCCTCGGTCTCGGACCAGGCTCTTTTTCTGGTTCCTTCTTTCGGTGACTTTCAATATCAAAATCCCCGATGATGTGGCGCTCACGTGGCCAGCTCAGGTAACCGGCAATGGGACGCGCGTCACCAGAAGCTGCTGAACTGGTTCCAGCTGGGAGCTCGCTAACCAAATGAGAAGGAGGAAAAAACAAAACAGGGGCGAAAAAAATAATAATTCACGAACGATCCTGGATCGGGAAAAAGTGGATAGATTCTTCCATTCATCGGTCTGCCTCTTGGATTGTTCCGTGGCTTTTCAATTCGGAATCTCGAGATTCACCCCGAAATACCCACACGACTGTATCAGTTTCGGATTCCGATGCTGTTCAAGCTGCTGCAGCATTGAGGACGGAGCCTGGGAAGCATCTCAGCGTTAATGGCCAAGAGCCAACCCGATGGTCATCATCCTTTATTGTCTCACTGCAAACTTACATAGCAGAAAGGAATCCAGTGGAAACTTATGTAGAATGTTTGCAGTGAATGAAAACGGCACGTTTGCTCCCATAAATGAGAGAAGTGCTTTTCAACCCTCAGCAACACTCCCAGAATTCCCCAGCCAGTATGAAAACCTCACCTCTGAAAGCTGCTGAGGTTGAGAAATTCTGAATTAGAGACTTCAGGTCGTGGATTCTGTTGAGCAGAGTTGCACACAAACACTGGGAGAGGAAAGCAGCAGTGACTCTTACAGGGTTAGCTGCTGTTGAAACAGGAGCAAGGAAAGGAGGGGAATCCGGCTATCCTGTTTTGCTGCTTAACTATGGTAACAGTTCTGTTCTGTTTATGAAGGCAGCTGAGTAGGTTAGAATGGTCATGATATGACTAAGCGTTATTGCCTCCTCCCTTCAGTCAGCACTACTTTTATTTATAGCTGCACTGTTGGTGTGAATGGATTGGAGAAACTTGATACAGTATAGTGCAATAAAGTACAGTTCAGGATTCTTCTGTATTATACATTGTTCTGTTTAGCACGGAAGAGTCATTAAGTCCATCCATTGCACCAGAGCCAAATCGGTCCCATTTCCCAGCTCTCCAGTGACGCGCGGTGAGGTTTATGGCTGGTGAGGCAGCAATTTTTTTAGACTTGTGGACTTCAACTCCCAGAATTCCACAGCCAGGCATGCTCAGTTCTGATTTAAAGTGACAGCATTTGTTTTTCTCCTTTGCTAAATAAGTTTCCTTCTTTCTTTTTCTTCTCCCTTTCCCTCCTTCTTCCCTCTCTCCCTCCCTCCCCCCTCTCTCAAACACACACACACACACACACAAACACACAAAGTTGCACCAGGATTCAGAAAATTTAGGTTTTCCTCCTCAGTCCATGTTAGCAATATGACTAGCAGCATTTTGGCTGGTAGGTGTAAGTAGAAGTGGAAATTCATTCTACTGAAAACATTGTTTTTGCTTATGATTGGATAATTAAAATTTCAGAAGACCCAAAGGCATAGTATTTGAGTGTTACATAGTGCATAAACTAAAGAACTGTCTCAATATGCTCCCTCCCCCCTCTCTCAAACACACACACACACACACACACAAAGTTGCACCAGGAGGATGAAGTTTGAATTCCTCCTCCTCCCTCCAACCCACACGTACCTTTTCCAGCTGTTTCAGAGAGGATTTCAACTCTTCTCTTGCCTGCCATCATGGAAAGAAAAAAAATGTAAAAGGAAAAAGGCAAGAGCTGAGGTCAGGCTGAGCTAGTTGCTGCCAGAGTCACCGTGGATGACTCTGCTTAGTGTTAAACTGTTTTTTAAAAGCCTCTAAAAAAGCACCCTCTACAGGAGGAGCAAGAGAACGACGTGCCTCACCTATGTCAGGAATTTTTTGGCTTTTAACCCTTCCTGCTCGAGTGATCATAAAAGCCAGACTAGATGAGGCACGTCATTCTCCTGCTTCCTCCTGTAGAGGGCGCCTTTTTAGAGGCTTTTTTAAACAGTTAAGCAGAGTCATCCATGGTGACTGCCAGCAACTAGCTCAGCCTGACCTCAGCTCTTGCCTTTTCCTTTTACATTTTTTTTCTTTTCATGATGACAGTGGTGAGACTCTGCCTCCCCTGCCTCCCCTGACTGCACATCCTGCAGTTCTCTTATTTGACACAAGCCCCCTATTTTGATGCCTTCCAGAGCCCACCCTGCTTGTCACTGGTAAAGGAACTATTGATTTCGGACAGCTTTACATTTCCGTCTTAAAACAAGATGGAAGTAAATTAAAGTAAGTCTGTTTAGCTTGTGCTATGCTGACTATATCTACTTTGCCTTAACTATCTCCAAAATACAAAAATGAAAGAATGAATGAACAAATGAATGAATGAAATGAAATTGGTCTCTCCTTCTCCAGAAGTACCAGGTACTGCAGCTCTCAAAAACTAAAAAAGAAAAAGCATGCTACTCAGCCATTAAAAGATTCCCTACTCCAGTTGTAAAAAAAATAGAAGACAGGAAGTAGGTGTTAGCTGCCCTACTGCATTGCTAAGTGACCTTTAGGAAATAAAATACTAGAAAAAATTAACAGTCTTCATTCCTGTTATACCCCGCAGGGCCTTTCTGTTCTTAAATCAACAAAAAACATGACTGGCATGACATTTTCTATACTTACTTCTAATCCCTAAACTGTCTGTGTTGCAACTGTTGTTAGCTAACCGGGGAGTTTGCCACTTGTTAAAGGCAATGTAACAGTTTTTTTTCCTCTGGCATTGCCACCATCCAAATATTATCATTCTGAGAGTGCATTTTTAAAATCCTGGTTGAGCTACAATGTTGTGTTTATTTGTTTGGTCACATCATGAATTCAGATACAAATGGGACGAAAAGAAGAGAAATGTTGGTTTTGTGCTTCACATCTGAGAGAATAAATATAACTATTTAAAAAGCTGTTTCTCCCTGGTTTTCATATCCATGCTGTAAAGTTATTTAGATTTAGAGTGTTGCACATTGCGGAAAGATGAGCAAATAAGAAATCAGATATAGAGAAAGACCAGAGAAAGAAGAGACCAAGGATTTTTGGAATGACTGAACTAAGGCAAGAGGGTGTGGGGGAGTGATGACAGATGAATGACAACATCATCGTGCAAATGCTGTGACATGTACTTGCACCAGACATTAGAAGGATGACATAGTTATGTGCATATATACATGTTATTACTTTGATATCATTGTGGTTTGCTGCAGGTGCCACTGCAAGCAACAAAGACAAGGTAAGAGCGACTTTATTTCTATTTTGGTTCAAATTATTTTGAGGAAAAGGTATGGCAACTATGAAAAACATGAGGAAATTTCAGGTTTAAAGCTTGAGAATGATAAAACTTGGTCAGGGAATACCAACTTTTTCTGATATTCTAAATCTCTAGGATCATTTTAATTGCATCCTGGAGCATTGAAGAAACTTACTCATGGTCTGGCTGAAACTTTACTTATCGTTTATTATTTCTTCAGTCCTGAGTCATGTTGGTAAAAGTTATTCATGTGTATGTTTGTGTGTGTGTGAAAGAGAAGGGGGAGCAGGGAGGCAAAGATGTTAGACTGTTTATGTCAATCAAAGAAAATGTGCCAGAATAACATGTATTTTTTGGGGGTACCAAGAGACCAATTGACCATAAGGCTCTGTAGACCCCACTTATTTCCCAAAATGACTCTACTTCCATTAAGAAGATTATTTTAAAATCATACACTTTCAAAATCTCTTTATTTCTTTCTATGAACTTGGCATGCTTCGTCCCTTGTAAAAGTTCCAGCTTTTCTACATAGCTCATTGTGTTCTTGCTAACTTCAGCAACCCCTAAGACTATTGAAGTATTTCTTTGAAGTATTAAATCATCCTAGCTGTAAAGTCACTTGGACATGACCAATTATAGAATTCTGGATAGCATGTTCTTTGCAATCCCAATTTTTCCTGTTTTATCAACAATATTTAGTTGAATTTATGGTTCTATGTTACAGCTCATTCATTTTATACTCAAACGCCAGAGAAAGATGGTGAAAGAAAAAAATCCGTCATTTTGGAAACTCCTTAATTATTTTCCCTGTCAAATATAGATGTTTAATCTGCAAAATAGATCTTTAAACTTCTAAGACTTCAATTTATACCAATATCATATACTTGATTTATATAAGGAAAAAACACAATAACAACACACATACACACTCACACGTGTGTGTGTGTGTGTGTGTGTTATATACAAATACATGTCCGTCTGTTCGTCTGCGTGTGTGTAAGAAAGATTCTCTAAAAGATTTATTAATTTCACTACCACTTTCTTGTATTTTTTCCTATGTATGCTTTGTATCTGATGCAATATAACTGGGTGGAATGTGGGTGAGGTATATAGCAGCCAACTCACTTTGCTAATGTTTAAACAAGGAATCAAATTAACTTTTGATAAATAATTCAAGATAGGTTATAAAAAGATTGAGTTAATATTGCTGGCTATCTGTAGGCTGTTGATCCTTGCCTTTCTCTTTACTAAACAAACATACCACTTGAGACAGATAAAGGTTTTCCTTGGGCTAGCTTAGGACTCTGAACTTCCCTTTAGGCTTGCCATGCCCATAGTACAGTTTCTTCTTTCCTCAGTTTCCCCTTTCACTCCAGAACAGAAAGTGGGAGGATTTTGTATGCATTGCTATTCTGTACTTGTATTGACCTAATCAAGCTGTCTTTGCATATGTGTCTGAACCTAGTGTCCTTTCATGTGTGTATATGGGTACTGGGAAGCATAGTGTGGGCTACATGCTCTGGATCACATGACCAGGAAACAGTAGGTCGAGGCTTAGAATGGAACAGTCAGAATTAGATAACTGGACGACTCAGAAGGAAGTGAATCGTGTTCTGTTCAGTTTTTAGTTTCATCTCTACTGCAGGCAGAGATATGGACAAAGTCCTAAACTCCTTTACATCATTTCTTTCCAACATTCTAGTGCGCTGGAAAGAATAAAAATATTGATTAATATGTACAGGTACTCTTCGACTTGTCACACTTTATTTAGTGGCTGTTCAAAGTTACAATGACCAGGAGAAAGTAGAAAAATTGACTTATGACCAGGGGGTGGGTTCCTGCCGGCATTACTACCGGTTCGGTATGCAAAACATTTTGCGCATGTGCAGAACAGAAAATCAAGATGGCACCGCCGAGCATAGAACCGGTTCGGGCACGTGTCCGGCTGAGTTACTATCTACTCGGCCAAACCGGGCCGAACCAGTAGGAACCCACCTCTGCTTATGACCTCTTTTTAGCAACCCATGTGATCAAAATTCAAATGCTTGGCAATTGGTTCATATTTATGATGGTTGTTGTATCCCAAGGGTCATGTGATCCCCTTTTGCGACTTTTTGACAAGCAAAGTCAACGGGGAAGCCAGATTCACTTAACAACTGAGTTACTAACTTAATATCTGCAGCGATTCACTTAATAAGATCATAAAGTGGGATAAAACTCACTTAACAAATGTCTCACAACCACAGAAATTTTGGGCTCAATTGTGGTCATAAATTGAGGACTACAATCTAATAGCACCATGTATATCCCCAGCTCTATTGAATATGGTGTTGCTGTGGATAATAAATTATGCCTCCAAATGTTTCTCTTGTGTTTTAGGGCAAAATAGAATTGTATTTTACATATTTCTGTGTCAATTCAAAATATGGTAAATGTAATCTATGGCCATGAACTGTATATGACTGTTATGGAATTCAACTTAATATATTCCTGGTTGTGTATAGTACTGGATATATAGTACTGGATGTACATTATTAATAAAATTATTTCCAAAACAGAATAATGAAATGGTTCAGAAAACATCTGCATTGAAGTAAATATTCAGAATTATTGACTAGTATATATTTTTTAATCTGTAGAATTATCCTTAACTGTACTATTAATAAATATTTATTATAGGTCTTATGGCAGACTTCCTCTTACCTGTGAAAAGCTAGTCAAACATGTAATTTTGGAAAGCTTAAGGACGATTGAATGACAAAACAAACTGCCCCATGAGAATATATGGTGGCAAAGTATGAATTAGCCTGTGAGTACAGTAATTAAAGACTCGCTTTGGCAAAGACATCTGGAATATAAAAAGCTGAGGAAGCAGAGATGAAAATAACTGATCTA